TCACTAGGAACTATAAGGTTTGTTCTCTTTTTTCACCATATTTTCCATTTTTGGTGCTTCTGGCAAAGGCCCTGAGATCATTCAATTTGTTGTTTGAGGAATTGGCTAATATGATGAAATACAAATCCCAATTGCGGAAATGATTTTTTTTTCACTATATTTGATGGATATGTCGTCGTTATTTGATTTTAATCATTTCATGAATTGGTAAATTGAGAATTAATCAGAACCCATGTCTTATTGTTTGTTTTTGTTGAAATTTTTTGAGTTGCAGGGTTTGCAAGACAAGATTAAGTTAGTGGGTATAGATCTTGAAAACAGGCCTGCTTGGTACAAGGAAAAGGTCTACCCCGGAAACAAGGTAAAATTTTGAGCAAAAATTAGTGTTCTTTCTTCTTTGCTGCCATTGATTATCTGTGGAAAATTTAGTGAAGCTGGATAAATCTCTTGATTGATTATTTTTATAGGTGCCATCTCTGGAGCACAATGGAAAAGTCATTGGAGAAAGTCTTGATCTGATCAAATACCTCGAAAGCAACTTCGAAGGGCCTTCACTTGTCCCCAATGTAAGATATCCAGAATTTGATTGTGCCTCAAGTAACATGCCTTTGTTTCTCACAAATTTGACCAAAGTGATGCTCCAAAATTGTTTTTAGGACGACCCTGAGAGAAAAAAGTTTGGCGAAGAATTATTAACTTATGTGGATACCTTCGTGGGGTCCTTGTATCGCTCATTGAAAGGAGACGCGGTAAAAGCAGCTGGTAAGACTTGGAAGATTCTTCCGTTAGTGACTGTTTTTGTTGATGAATTTATGCTGAACGAATTTGGTTAACTGCATCAGATGAGCAGTTTGATTACTTGGAAAATGCTCTTAAGAAATTTGACGATGGGCCATATCTTCTGGGTCAGTTCAGTTTGGTAAGTTGAATGTACAATGTATCTACATGCCAATTAATGTTTTTGTATTTCTAATAAAATGAGCTAGTAGTAACACATAAGTGCTCAAGTAATGGATAAAAATTTGTGATATTCAGGTGGACATAGCCTATATCCCATTCGTTGAGAAGTTCCAAGTCTTCTTATCAGACGTATTCAAGTATGACATCACAGCTGGGAGGCCTAAAGTAGCAGCATTCTTGGAGGTACATTAACAAGTCATAGAATTGTATAATGAATGTTATGGATTCCATTGTCTGAGCTTTATCCCATGTACGGATGACAGTCTCTCATCTGTTTAAAAACAAACTTAAACGTTTCATGAGACTAAGCTAGCTGTTCAAGTGGTTTCCGAGCAAGAACTCTAAGCAAAAGCACTCCGTTAACCACTTTCTTAAGATCGGATTTGATAGAGGACGTGCTCCTCAGTAATATATCTCAGAAAGATGGTGATTATGATGGTTGTTATATATACTTGTGCAGGAAATCAACAAGATTGAGGCATACAAGGTAACCAAAGCTGATCCAAAGGAGATTGTTGCAGCGTACAAGAAGAAATTCCTGGTACATTCTCTTTTGCTGAACTAAAATACGAAATTTGTGCTCAGTCGTTCTTTCTATATTCATTATGCTGGTTTGCTAACCTCTGCGGAATACTTTTCGTTACAGGAGCAACAGTAAACCTGTGAAATATTCTGCTGCGGACGCCGTATAAATAAGTCGCTGAGCCCATGCACAGATTGTTCGTCAGCCTAATTATGTATGCACGTTATGTAGTCTTGTTATAGATACGGACTTGTGTGTATTTGGATATGTATAAGTGTCTTTGTTACATGAATAAAATTCGGGTCGTCGGATTCTGTTCGGTGTTCGGGTCCTGCCTCTCGTAATCTATCAACAATTTCTTCAGAAGAGGGAAGTTCCTTTGCAAATCAAAGAACGACAATTACCAAACAATATAGTCCAAACCACGTTGGGCAAATGTTTTTTTTTCTATATATATTTTATAAGTCGAAGTTCTCTGTCTTTTCTTGCACTACTCTTCAACTAAAACAATGCAAAATGCTTCTAATATCATATCACGTCGTAATGAAAAATACATATAATAATCTGAGATAGAAGAGATCAACAAATTACATGTTCCAACAAAAAAAAAAAAATTAGGATTTGGCTACAATATCATGTATTTGTTTAATACAAGTGTTCCTGATACACAAAAATTTGTCCAAGTAATTTACTAGTTTGGACTAAATGGATTTCCTTATTGGTTAGGGAATCTAACTCCGTATCTTTTATGGAAACTACGAAACCGGAACTTACTAGTGCGGGTTAAATGGTTTTCCATATTGTTTGGTCAAACTAACTCCTTAGTTTTTATGGAAATTATTAAGAGTTTATTTGGGAAGTGCTTTTAAACGACTGAAAGCGCTTCTAGAAAAAATAATTTTGGAATCAAACCTTAGTAAAAATGCAAGTTAATTATGGAAAAGCACTTGAAGTGCTTTCAGCAAGATGCATGTAACATGTGATTTTAACATGAAGCACTTCAAGTGCTTTAAAACAAAAAACATTTTCTCTAAAAGCGCTTTCAGTTATATAAAAGGACTTGCCAAACGAACCCTAAATCGGTTTTCCTAATTGAAATAGGTTTAACACATATGTGACTTGCGCACCAAGTAACAACAAATCAATCCCTTCCCTCCCTTCCCATATATACCCACTTAACCCCTTCATATTCTTTCGTCTATCAAAAGCAAACTACAAAAGCTAGCAAAACCATGTCTTCTTCTGAAGTAAGGCTTAATCATGCGAATGAAAAGGCAGAAGCATCCGCTATCTGTACGGCGACGTCTGGTGGAGTCCCTGGCGTCAGCATGTACGACGGTCTGTTGATCCGGGGACTAGTGACAATGTCAATGAAGATCTCCTAGCAGCATCCAAGGCCAAAGTATGATGAAAGTGGCTGTCAGTCTTGACGATCACCAAGAGTGTTCTATATGCTTGGAAGAGTTGAAGGTTAATGAGTTGATATTATACTATATATTTTGCCCTAATTTTAGTATCAATTTATTGGTTATTTTGCAAGAGTTTCAATATAGGACATTTGACTTTATCTGGAGCAAAACATGACCAATGGACGAATTTTGATGTGTTTCAAATTGGAGGACGCTCGTGAGTTGCTTGGCTTCTTCGTGTCCAAATGTCAGCTTTTTATTTTTTATTTTCTGGTGATGAAATAAAGAAGCAGTGCGTGATGCTGGAAAGTGACATTTTTGGGCTTAATTACAATTTTTGAAGCCCAAGATGACCTCTATTGGGTGGCCTTCTAGAGTAGTGTTCAGAATATTCCAAGCTAAGGGACTCTGAACACTTCTCTAGAAGGCCATGAACCCAACAAAAGCCATCTTTGGCTCAAAAAATCGCAATTAAGCCTAAAAATGTCACTTTCTTGCATTGCTCACTACTTCTTTATTTCATTGCCAGAAAATAAGAAAAGCTGAAATTTTGACACAAAGAAGCCAAGGGACTCACTAACGTCCTCCAATTTGAAACACTTCAAAGTTCATCCGATTGATCACGTTTTGCTCAAGAGGAAGTCGAATGTCCTATATTGGAAATATAGTGCAAAGTATCAAAACTAAGATTAGGACAAAATATACAGTATAATATCGACTCATTAGAGGTGTCAAAGCCACCGTGATGCCTTGTGACTGTAGGCACGGTGGTTTTGACTCACTGTGTCTCCAGGAATGGTTGCCCAAAAATGCTTCTGCCCGCTCTGCAGGTTTCCGTTGAGCTGATCATCCCCAATGACAACCAAGATGAAGACGAAAACGACGACAACATGAATCACATTAGATTATTTTGCATTTACAATTTCTTTTTATTCATAACACAAAATTATGTTTGTTGCCCTTTGTGCCCCAATATATATATATATGTGTGTGTGTGTGTGTGTGTGTGTGTATCTATATATTTATATCTATATTTCTCAAAGTGTGACTTGCAAAATGTTTTGAAAAATTCAAGAACACGTATTAACAAAATATATTACTTCCTTAGAAATGATTTTTAGTTAAAAGCACTTCTACTACAATGCTTCTATCTAGAACTACATTGAAATTTTAACAGAAAAGCAAGTTTTCTTGAGAAAGTATTTAAAGCATTTCTTGAAAGCACGGGCTTCTTTCAGAAAATATTTTAAGTATTTTTCTTTTTATTTTTACTTTTTAAAGTTTTTTTAGTTATTTTAAAAGCATTCCAAATATGTTCATAAACCCTGAGGACTAATTAAAATGAAAAGATTAGTCCAACCACATTGGCTTAAGTTGTAAATGAACCACTCTATATGTAGATTATAAGTTCTTCCTTCCTTAATTCCTTTCCTCCAAAGCAAGGCAAATTGCTTCTAATTAATTAATCACCCACAAATGTAATTTTGAGATGGTTCCGTTGCTTCGACACCTCCTTCTCCCATGTTAAACTTCTAACAATTTATTTGTGCTGATTTACAAGTTTTTCATCTTTGTAATTGGGCATGAAAATTGTTATTTTGTGTGGAAACACACACATACTGACACACATATATTAATCATATATGTTTTCTACCCTAAAGCTTTTATGTATCCTTCTCCTTCAAGTTTTGGAAAAATTTAACAACGAAGCATACGTATTTGCCATAGCAGTAAAGCATGGCATTAGCTAGGAATGAAGCGGACGTGGAGGAAAGGAAATGGCAGCAGAGCTAAGTTATAATTTTTTGTAATGACGATGGACGAGTAATATTACTAAGTGGTGCTCTTGGATGATCACAGTAAGTTCAAAGTTCGTTTTTCATTTGAATTTTGTAAGTGTGGTTTTTGTTGGAACTTTTCCAATTAAGGTTGTAAGGTTGTTCAAAAATCAAGTTAGGATTAAGATTGTAACATCTGGTTAATTAATACTTAAATCTATAGATACATGGGAACCTCCATAATACATCCTCCTACATTATACATATACTAAAACCCAGTTTTTAAGCAATGTTCATTAACAGTGAAAGGGCAAATATGCCCTTGGCTTCTGCTTGGTTACCTATTTTGATACCCCCATTTGTGCAGTGAAATGTCGGGAATGCCCCTCATTTGGGTTCCACATTGGTTCTTTGGCCAGCCCACATGTCAGTGATTGTAAGCTCTTGCGTATATGTATAATTTTCTTTGTTTTTCCTCCCGTTTCCCATATCTCAGACCTCTTTTTCTTTCCCTTTCAAATCTCAGCTTCGGGTGGTTGGCGATTTTTGTTGGCTCGCTTTTGAATCTTGCTTTCTGTCCTTCTCAGCTGTTCGTTTGCTCACTGAACACCAAATCAGTGTAAGGTTCTTCAACTTTACAATTTTCTTTTGTTCGAAACTGCGGGTTTGATTTCATTAGATTCCAAAATATCAAAATTTAAATCTTTGTTTGGCTCAATTTTTAAACCCAGATAGTGTTATGGCTTATGATGAGTGATTAAATCGTAGAAACCAAAATTATAGGGAGAGAGAAACGACATAGAAGGGATGGAAGATAGAAACGGGTAGGATGTTTTGTATTAATTTTTTTTCAAATCGATTTGTGGTTTGGTTTGGGTTTGGTGATGATGGACTCTTGACCTGAACAATTTGGTTAAACATTCAACAGGAGGCAACCAAATTGATTTGTTGTTTTTCTGTTTAAAATTGAAGAGTCTTGGTTAATTTTGGTAACACAGAGTGTCTTTTGTACCAATTTGTTCCCTATTTCTACGATTTTGTTCGTGGCTTTTTGAGATTTATGATTTGGTTTTTTTGGTGAACGGTTTGTTTTGTAGGTTTCGTTTATACAAAGGTGAGGACAACTTGGCTACTGCACCATTTCTTGCTGCTTGAGGGTAAGATTTAGCTCGTTAGGTAGTGAGTTGCAAAGTTGTAATGAGATCTTAAGTTAATTTTAATCAATGAATTTGAGAGCATCTTTATCTGTTTATTTTGTCATGCTCTGTTTGGATTGGATTTTAGGCGCTGAAAATTATGAGCTAAATTTTATTTTGAAATGGGAAGGATAATTTATATGATCTTTGCTTGATATTGTTGAATTTGGCATTTCTTCCTCATATGAAACATTTCGCATTGTCTTTGCAGTAAAATTGGGTTATGTGTCGTGCTATAACATTGATAACCAAAAGTAGTCGTCCAATGTTGATTTCATAATTGTTAACCTTTCCATGGTTTTTTTTATTTTTTATTTTTTTTATTTTTTATTTCAATACATTTTGTTTCTCGCTCAAATGTATCATTATTTATTTCTGGTGTGATCAACTAAATATTTTAAATTTATAATGCATTTTATATGACGTGTGTTATAGCTTTGATCAATGTTTGGGATTGTGTTGAATTTGGACAATTCATAGGGCAGATCATTCTATATTTTCAGCAAATTGGATATCAAGAAAAGATATCATTTTTTAAACATAGCTTGAGCAGATAGTGTAGTGAATCTATTTGAGATGGTAAACAGAGATGTTTCAGCACAATGGTGGCCATTTCGTGTTGTTTTGTAAAAGTTGTATGCTCACAACGGACTGAAAGCATGATTTTTCAGTGTTGGATCAATGTTGGATATAAATAGTGACAAGACATTTCAAAGAGAAATGAAAGCATGTTTGATGACAATTAGTCATTTAGTTATTACATACTTTGATCAATTTCTTGCTAAATGAATCTTGCTTTGCTTCTAAGTGATGAATTGTGTTTTGGTACAGAAAAAATTTAAAATGAAGAAACCTTGGGTTTTCTGTTTTGATTTAGCATGTTTTCTTCTGATCATTGTTGTTATCCCATTTTATGATATCGATAACTTTAGATAGTTATTGGTATAACTTCAGTTATATTTTTCCAAGTACTAGCACCTATCCAATTTTTCTAACTGTGTCTTTTTAAACTTTATTGGTGATTTAATCTTTGTTAATCCATACTGTGTTTCGGTGTTGTGTTGTTCTATGAAAGTTATGTTCTCGAAACGGACTCAAAGTATGATCTCTCAATTGTTTATCAATATTGGATATAAATAATGACATGACATTACAAACAGAAATGGAAACATTTTTAATAACAATTAACCATTTAATTATTACATTCTTTGGCGAGTTTCTTGCTAAATAAATCTTGCTAACTCTGGCAGATAAATTTTGTTTTGAGTCAAAGTAAAATTTAAATGAAAAAAACTTGGGTTTTATGTTCTCATTCAATGTGTTATGTTCTAATTATTGTTGTTGTTGTGTTTTTTGATATTTTAACTGCATGTTTTTAAACTTTCATTAGTCATTTAACCTTTGTTAACCAATACTGTCTTTTGGTGTCATATTGCTTTGTTAAAGTTGTGTTCTCACAATGGGCTCAAATTATAATCTTTCAGTGTTGTATCAATGCTTGATGTAAATAGGAACATACAAAGACAAATGCAACATGTTTAATGATAATTAACCATTCAATTATTATATGCTTTGATGACTTTTTTTGTTGAATGAATCTCACTTTCTCTCGACCGCATGAATTTTTCTTTGATTAAAAAAAAAAAAATTAACGAAAAAAACCTTGGGTTTCCAGTTCTGATTCAGTGTGTTTTCTTCTACTTCTTGTTGTGGCCTCGTTTTATAATATGGATAATTCTAGGTAAATACACTAGTAGAAAAACATGTTTACGCGACCGAATTTTGCGCGACGCATAACATTTCGTTGCGCAAAGTATGTTTGCGCGACCAAAAACACAAAACGTCGCACAAAAGGACTTTGCGCGACGAAACTTTGCGCAACAAAGAGTGGCGTCGCGCAAAACAGCTTTACATGACGCATTAGCTCCTGCGCCGCGCAAAGGTATTTTGCGCAACGTTAGCTTAGTCGCGCAAAGTTCCGTCACGCAAATGCCTTTTGCGCGACGTTTTATGCATCGCGCAAGATCTTGGCACCAAACAAACTTTGCGTGACGTAGGCTTAAGGAGTGTACCTGTAAAAAAATCATCAAAATCGAAGTTAAAATAACCATTAAATTGTGATTTTTTGTTATAACTGATGAAATTTTTTGTCCCGTTACTTGATCTCTGAATGTTTTTTTTTTTGCGATTTTTTGCGTATGCGATCTCAAAGTATATACAAACAAGTTTGACGGTTGAATCATTGAATCTAATTTTGTACCCCCATCAAATTCAATGGTATATGTATTTAGTAAGTAGATTTTAATTTATATATTTTGTACTACGTCGCGCAAAGTCCCTTTTTATTAATTTTTTTGTATTTTTGCCCTTTTCCTTTTCTTTTAGGGTTCTTGCATTGCCATTTTCTTTTGAGGTATCCACTTGTGTAAATATTTTAAATTGACGATCAAATCAGTTCATTATATTCATATAGGGTTAAAGAGTGTAGCTGTAAAAAATCATCAAAATCGGAGTTAAAATAACCGTTAAATCGTGATTTTTCGTTTATAACCGTAGAAAAGTTTTGTCCCATTATTTGATCTCTACAAGTTTTTATTTTTTTGCGATTTTTGGCGTATGCGATCTCAAAGCATATACAAACAAGTTTGACGGTTGGATCGTTGAAACTAGTTTCGTACAATGCGTATCCCGTCAAAACATTAGATTCACTAACACTTGGAGTATATTTATGCTTTCATCAAGTATAACATAAGATTTTGTGGTATCCACTTGTGTAAATATTTGAAATCGACGATCAAATGAGTTTCTTGCATTCATACAAGATCAAGGAGTGTAGTTGTAAAAAATCAACAAAATCGGAGTTAATATAACCGTTAAATCGTGATTTTTCGTTTATAGCCGTCGAAAAGGTTTGTCCCGTTGTTTGATCTTTGCACGTTTGTTTTTTACAATTTTTGGTGTATGCGATCTCAAAGCATATACGAACAAGTTTGATGGTTGGATCGTTGAAACTAGTTTCGTACAATGCGTATCCCATCAAAACATTAGATTCACTAACACTTAGAGTTTATTTATACTTCCATTAAGTATAATATACTATTTGGTGGTATCCACTTGTGTAAATGTTTTAAATTGACGATCAAATCTGTTCATTGTATTCATATAGGGTTAAACAGTATAGCTGTAAAAAATCATCAAAATCAGAGTTAATATAACCGTTAAATCGTGATTTTTCGTTTATAGCCGTCGAAAAGGTTTGTCCCGTTACTTAATCTGTGCATGTTTGTGTTTTGCGATTTTTGACGTATAAGATCTCCAAGTATATACAAACAAGTTTGACGGTTGGATCGTTGAAATTAGTTTCGTACAATGCATTTCCTATCAAATTCAATGGTATATGTATTTACAATGTAAATTTTAATTTATTTATTTTTTACTTATAAGCAAAACGGGTTTTAAAAAAAAAAGACTTTGCGCGACGTATGTACAACTGCGTCGCGCAAAAAAGGTTTGCGCGACGTAAATGTACCTACGTCACGCAAAGTCCCTTTTTTTTTTTTTATGGTTTTGGCGTTTTGCTTTTCTTTTGGGATTCTTGCATTACCTTTTTCTTTTGTGGTATCCACTTGTGTAAATGTTTCAAATTGACGATCGAATCAGTTCATTATATTCATATAGGGTTAAACAATGTAGTTGTAAAAAATCATCAAAATCGGAGATAATATAACCGTTAAATCGTGATTTTTCGTTTATAACCGTCGAAAAGTTTTGTCCCATTATTTGATCTCTACAAGTTTTTTTTTTTGCGATTTTTGGCGTATGCGATCTGAAAGCATATACAAACAAGTTTGACGGTTGGATCGTTGAAACTAGTTTCGTACAATGCGTATCCCGTCAAAACATTAGATTAACTAACACTTGGAGTATATTTATGCTTTCATCAAGTATAACATAAGATTTTGTGGTATCCACTTGTGTAAATATTTGAAATCGACGATCAAATGAGTTTCTTGCATTCATACAAGATCAAGGAGTGTAGTTGTAAAAAATCATTAAAATCAGAGTTAATATAACCGTTAAATCGTGATTTTTCGTTTATAGCCGTCGAAAAGGTTTGTCCCGTTGTTTGATCTTTGCACGTTTGTTTTTTACAATTTTTGGCGTATGCGATCTCAAAGCATATACGAACAAGTTTGATGGTTGGATCGTTGAAACTAGTTTCGTACAATGCGTATCCCATCAAAACATTAGATTCACTAACACTTAAAGTTTATTTATACTTCCATTAAGTATAATATACTATTTGGTGGTATCCACTTGACGATCGAATCTGTTCATTGTATTCATATAGGGTTAAACAGTATAGCTGTAAAAAATCATCAAAATCAGAGTTAATATAACCGTTAAATCGTGATTTTTCGTTTATAGCCGTCGAAAAGGTTTGTGCCGTTACTTAATCTGTGCATATTTGTTTTTTGCGATTTTTGACGTATAAGATCTCCAAGTATATACAAACAAGTTTGACGGTTGGATCGTTGAAATTAGTTTCGTACAATGCATTTCCTATCAAATTCAATGGTATATGTATTTACAATGTAAATTTTAATTTATTTATTTTGTACTTATAAGCAAAACGGGTTTTAAAAGAAAAAAGACTTTGGGCGACGTATGTACAACTGCGTCGCGCAAAAAAGGTTTGCGCGACGTAAATGTACCTACGTCACGCAAAGTCCCTTTTTTTGTTTTTTATGGTTTTGGCCTTTTGCTTTTCTTTTGGGGTTCTTGCATTACCTTTTTCTTTTGTGGTATCCACTTGTGTAAATGTTTCAAATTGACGATCGAATCAGTTCATTATATTCATATAGGGTTAAACAATGTAGTTGTAAAAAATCATCAAAATCGGAGATAATATAACCGTTAAATCGTGATTTTTCGTTTATAACCGTCGAAAAGTTTTGTCCCATTATTTGATCTCTACAAGTTTTTTTTTTTGCGATTTTTGGCGTATGCGATCTGAAAGCATATACAAACAAGTTTGACGGTTGGATCGTTGAAACTAGTTTCGTACAATGCGTATCCCGTCAAAACATTAGATTAACTAACACTTGGAGTATATTTATGCTTTCATCAAGTATAACATAAGATT